CTCTCTCTCTCTCTCTCTCTCTCTCTCTCTCTCTCTCTCTCTCTTTCTCTCTCTGTCCCCTAACATCTGGAAACTTGACTTATATAGTGCCAAAATGGAGTCTTGGACTAGCAAGTACTCACCAAATGAAAGAGTATAAAAATAGGTCTGGTCAGAGACAATTATTGTTGGATTGTGGAAACAGAAAAATCACCATGAAAGATAAATAATGATGAACACATAGCTCCTATTTTCATTTTTTAAAAATATAAATATAAGGGCTCAGTGATAACAGTGCTTGTCTAAGGACATGGGTTCCATCATACACACACACACACACACACACACACACAGGTTTTCTACATGCACACACATATGTTTTCTCAAAGATAGTTTGGCATGAGATTTATCCCCATGTTAACAATGATAATTTCCAAATGCTAAGATTAAAGGTGATATTTTCTTCTTTATACTTTTCTGTATTGTCTTATTTTAATAATATTTAGATAGTTATATAATCAAAAATGTTATATTTCTTTTCAAAACTGAGTAAAAATCAGTCACTAGTATTCATACAGATCTAGCAATTGAAAACGAATATAATTAATAATCCTTACAGAGAAGAGTTAGTACAAAATCAGATGGAGGCCCTTTTCACATGGATGAACGTTCTCTAAATCCCATGTGTGGGATAGGATTTTTTTATTTCTTTCAAGCATTCAACACACATTAGGAGGACAATCAGAACACTGAACATAGCTGGGTGTGATGGCACAGGCCTGTAATCCCAGCATTTGGAAGGCTGAGGCAAGAGGATCACCACAAGTTTGAAGCCAACCTGGACTACATAGTGAATTCAAGACCAGCTTGAACTACATAGAGAGACCCTGTCTTAAAAAAATGGGGAAAAAAGAAAACTCTGGATGTATTTTGGATTGCCACTAAAATTTTGTCTAGCTACTCAAAGCTAAAGAAATATGGATTGAAAAAAGAACACTCAACCAACAAAAATCTCTTCACATCTATATCTAGTTACAATATCTCTAACCGGTGTCCACTGCAGAACTGTCCATAACAGCAGAGAAATAGGAACAATGCACATGTTTTCCAATAGGAGGTAGGTTATACAAACAGTGGTACCTCCAGAATTTATATATAACATATGGAGGATTTATACAAAGCCTATAAGAATCACAAACGTCACTATGCTTTGGACAATCCCAACAATATTCTGCGTGTGTGTGGTGGTAAGGATCAAATCTAGGACCTCATACATGCTAGGTGAGTTCACTACCACTGAGTTACACACATACATGAACACACATGCACACACACACACACAAAACTAGCTCCCAACAATATTTTAAATTGATAGGTTCAGAACACGGAGTGATATCCAAAGCAGAGCAAATGGTAGGCTCCCAAACCACAAGAAGAAGAAATCATGGTACCATTTTCATCAATCACTCAACTACACCCTTTCTTTCAAAATTAAATCATTAGAGGTCACCTGGAAGCTAAAAGTCATCAGAAAGGAAGCAAGATGAAGGAGAAGGAACCCTAGGTCTGCTGGATCGTATATTTTAACCTTGGGAATTCAAAAGGAAAAATATTAACAAAATAGTTCCCCTATGATTATTGTTCATGTTACCTATGGAAGTTCCTTCTTGGTTTTTCATATCACCTACTGCTTATGTCATCATTATAGAACAAGTTCACTGAAGAGTGAAATTCAATTTTTGCAAACCAAATGACATTCACATACCTGTATAGAGATAATTAAAAACTCCTTATCTATGCACAAAATGAAATGAGCATGCAGTACAAATGCCCACAGAACACTGGGGAAAAACAGAAGCTGTATTTCAGCAGAGCTGAGGGAAGATCCCGAGGCTACCAGACAGGGCAGCTTAGAGGTAATGTTGACTTGACCTTTTCATTAGTGACGGGGCCAAGTCTGGAAAGGAGACATGAAGGAAAGCAGAGAGTAGATTAAGGAGAATGGTGTGATTTCTCTTTCAAGCAGGAACTCATTTTGAGTATTGCACATGCTCTATTTATTATAGTTTGACATATCTGTGTTCAAGCCAGGGCCATTTCATTCTTCCTTCTGTGCCAAAGGGCCATCTTCCTTTTGGGCTCACCTCAAGAATAAAGTTGATCATATTCCAGAGAATATAATGGATTAATTTATTCTAAGGTAAAATCACGGAACACAATCACTTAAAACTTATTGCATTAGAGGAACTTGGGAATTCATCTAAATATTTGGTAAGGCTATGTTTAACAGCTGAATTTCATCCTAATGTCTACATATTAACCAATCTTTTTTTCACTGCTGTTTTAATAGGCCTTGTTCTGAATCTTTGTGCTATGTCTGAATTTTTCAGTGCAATGGATGTAAAACCACTAGGCACCAGTAAGAATCTTACAGGAAGAAGAGTGCCATTATAATGCAAATGGCACTAGAACCTAGCAATGCAACTTCATCCAGTCTTTCCTTTGTGCAACCTCAATACATCCATGGTTTGACAAGTGAAAAGTTTCCATACAGAGTCAAGAAAAGTTTTGTTCATGATCTGAACACTCACCACGGTATAATAATTCTTGGTAAGTGGAGCAGTTTCAAATCCTTTGACACCCTTAGGGGAGAGAGGTCTCTCTGTGAAAAAAACATTCAAGTTATGTTAATAACATACAACTGTATGATGAACACTTTATAATACAGGTCAACTAACATACTAATAACGATTAGAGTAGAAGGATCAAGGGCAATATATATTCCTAAACAAATGAAAATACAACTTCACTAAACCATACATGGCCAAAGTCAGCTCTTCGTGTCCAGGTTCCCCAATTTCTGAGGGAGTAATAGGATAAGTAATAAGACAGCTAGTCACCAGCAGGGCCAGGGCAAGGACTTCAGTCCCAGTTCAGGTTTCTTTACTATAGTCTGTCTCTCCACTCAACTTATTCAAAACAGATAAGCGAAACCAGTGCTGACCAAATGTATATCTATAACTTGCAAATTACTGTACAAACATAATATAACTAACAGCAGCTTTAAGGGCTAATAAAAAACTGATATGTGTTTAATTTTTTAAAAAAATTATTACAGGGCCGGGGATTTAGCTCAGTGGTTTTGCCGGCTGCTGTGCAAGTGCAAGGACCCGAGTTCGATCCCTCATACCAAAAAAATAAAAAAATTATTACATTAAAAGACACATTGCTATTAACCCCCATTGAAAATACTCTCCCTTGTTTTGAACACACTTATTCCATCATTCATGCCAATTTCTTTAGCAGTTCTGGAAGTCCTATTTTGTGTCTTTACAAGGTACGATCAAAAATCTAGTCAACGCCATTGCCCAGTGCCATCCAACAGAAAAGTAGGCTCATAAAAACATCAAAGTGTGTCCTCATCTACCTTATTCACCAGATATGGCACCATGCGACTTCTGGGTCTTCCCCAAAGTCAATGTGACCATGAAAGCTAAATGTTTAAATTGATTCAGGACACTGAGGCGGCCACAACAGCACACTAAAGATAATTTTTGTGATGTAAATATTCACCACAGTTTTCCATGTGAACTCATATGCCTTTCTTGGGGCTATATTCCACTGTGCCAACAATAAAATAATCAGAATATTTAACTCAATGAAAACTATCAGAAGATTCTTTTTATGTAATCTTAATATTATTATATTGTAAAATGCTACCTTTCTTTTACAAAGTTAGTCTCTCTCATGAAACTCATGACAGAGGACATTCTTTTAAAACTCAGGAGATAGTCATAAATGCTTAGGAGATTCAGGGTCAGGGATTTAGCTCAGTGGTGCTGCACCTGCCTCACAAGCTCAAGGTCCTGAGTTTGACCCCTGGCACAAAAAAAAAAAAGATGCATAGCATCTTCCTAACTTTATTTTCTCTTACATTTTTTGTTTTATATTTCAATCCTATATTGCTGTATTGTACACTGCTTTAAATCCTTTCTGAAGTACAATGGAGTATAAATAGCCAAATAACAATATATCATCAGACGTTGATTCTTCTTTTTCAAATAATAGTTTAAGTTACAAATCATTATAGTCTTATCCTAAAAATTCAAAATATATAAAAGAAAAAACAGAACCAACCATCATCCAGAGTAACATTTTAAAGTGTGCCTTCCCATTGTTTTTATGTATGCATGTGTGAACACACACATGCAGGTCTTTTTTACTTTACCTATAATCTTGTAATTCTCCTATTACAACATTATGTTGTGAATATTTTCCCATTTAACTTTGACTTTAACTATTGTTTTATTAAAATCTCCCTGGTATTTACTTGGCACTACATAGCTTTAAGACACATTATTTGATCTTTAAATCTATACTAACAGGCAGAGTTCATCTTCTTATTTTACGGAGGAGGCCACTAAGGCTCAAGGAGGTAAAGTCACTTACCTAAGGTCACACAGCTAAGAAATGGCAAAACCAGGGTTAAAACCCAGGTATGTCTTGATAAGAGCCTGTCCTCCTCATCAAGAAAATTCCCAGAGACAAACCTACTGAAAGGATTGGTTGGTGGCGTAAGCAGAGGTCGTGCCTGGAGCTCAGAGCAGCCATTAATTTGACCTGGGGTGGCCAGAGAAGACTTTGTTGGGCATGAGGTACTTAACGTGCCCCTCGACAGTGGCTAGAATACACAGGTGAGAAGAAAGCAGAGGTTTCTAGGTGGGGAGGATTGCAGAAGCACTGCTTCAGAAATGGCAATGCTCGAGGCAGTTCCGGACCTATGACAGTGAATCTTCCAGCTGGGCCAGGCCAGGTAGAGTGGTACTAAGGCAAAAAAGCAGCAAGGAAAGCCAAGTCTGTCATTCCCCGAGGTTAACAAGTAAATACTGCCAGTTTTTGAAAAACTTAGGCTGCTTCAGGATCCACCTCAATCCACTAGTGGCTTCACAAGATGTCCCTGGGGCAAACCTGAGCAATGCAGTCACCTGTCTGTTGCTTGACACTATAAGTGACAGTGCCAGAACCTGAACCTATGTATCCCACTGCCACACCTGATGTTCTTTCCAATACACCATGGTGTTGTACTATGTCTTATTCAAAATTAGCAATTATCAAATTCTTTGGTTATTATAGGCAGGTTTCCTACAATGTAGCTATAATATAATGGTTTTATTTAGAGCTGTGTTGTTTCATACAATTATCATTTAAACCAGCCCCAATAAAAATGAAACTTTTTAGACATACCAGAAAGAGGTGATCACCTTTCAGAATCAAGGTCAAAAGGAAGAGTAAACAGTAATGGAATGCCTGCAAGACACCAAAGAGGAAAGGAAAGGCCACAGGAATGGCTAATTGCAATTGAAATAAAATGTTCACTATGTAAAGTAGAATGGAGGAGTAACAAATTGAAAACAAAGAAGTGGCAGCCTTGGAGATTCTGGGATGACTGGCCATGATGCAGAAACAGTTGCTGCTTTGAAAAGACTGGTAAAATCATCAAGATGGAGGGAGAAAATAAGACAGAAGACGCACACTACTAATTTTAGAGATGAAACTGGATATTACACCAGGCCCGGCAGATATCAAAAGAAAAATGAGAGAATACTGTGAACAGCGCTACACACATAAATTTGTCAATTTGATGTGAAACAAACCAGTTCCTCAGAAAACAAAAACAACTCACCCAAAATGAAATAGATGATTGAATAGAATTGCAACTATTAAGCAGATTGAATTTGTAAATTCAAAACTCTAGAAAAAGAAATCTCTAGGCCATATAGTTTCATTGGGGGAGTCTATCCAATATTTAGGGATGCCTCAGAATCAATTCCATAAGTCTCTTAGGGACAATAAGAGACCACTTCCCAACTCCTTTTATGAGCTCACTAGCACACTGACATCAAAGCCATAGAAAGACAGCACACACACAAAAAAACTGCAGGCAAATAGCCCTCATGGACATAGATGCAGAGAAACCTTAACAAAATATTGGCAAAATAGCTAGTCATGGTGGTGCACACCTGTACTCCCAGCATTGAAGAAGCTGAAACAGGAGGATCACTGAGAGTTTGAGGCCAGCCTGGGCTACATAGTGAGTTCAAGGCCAGCCGGAAGCATATAGAAGACCTTATCTTTAAAACAAAACAAAACAAAATGGCAAATAAAATTCAGCAACATTGAGGCCATACTCTTAAGTGAAATCAATAGGACACACACGTGTAAATACCGAATGGTTTCTCTAGTGTGAGAAACTGAAGGTGCAAATAAGGACTAAAAGGTATAATAGATAATGTGAAACAGGAAAGGGGCAAAGGGGAAGGGGAAGTGGGAGGGCTAGGGGAAAGGAAAGAAGGGAATGGAATTAATATGAGAAAATGAAAAAATGGAAACAAAG